GCATTCAATTTTGATAAACTTTCGAATATTCCGCTTACTTTTTGGTGTATATATCAATACAAAATGTGTGAAATAAATCATTTTACAGATACCAACTCATTTTATTTGATACACACGAACACAGTCTCGTAATGACTGAATACCTTCCATTTAACAGTTGAATAAATTGACATAAAGTCTTATCTTTTCAGGAAGCTAATTTCCAACTGTCATTTGGCAGACATTTCAGTAATCGTACAAGTGCAAATGGTGAATTAATTAAGAAACCTTTGGAAACACCAATGCGAAATAGTGTAAAGCTAATTATTTACCTTGTAGAGCATTCTAAATCTTACTTATTAACCTTAGAGTTTCGCCTCACCTCTTCGTTGTCCAGTCTTATCGTTTGTCAGTTATCTTTTATTATCAAATGTAAGTACATCCTATGTACTTGCTGAGTCGTCGGCTCACCTTTCTTCTCTTCCTTTTTCTCTTCCGGATTCTCGTGGCCACCATCAAACTCAAACTGCTCTGCGCGCCCCCTACAACAACGTACCTATCTAAAGGCTAGACGAAAACTTATCAACAACTGGTCGTTACAACCTATCAGGTATTGGTTGGCCAAACTTTTTCAGAAGACTGTATTCACTGATTTTTAATGCCTGAAATGAGCTTAAAAATTCGTAGTCAAGGTGGAACCAAATATCATAACTACTGCCTGAAAACTGTACTATAAGCAACACTGTAATAGATCATATTACAGGTGTTACAGATTTACTGGCAACCAACAAAGATCCTGTATCTATGTTCTATTTTCTTTATAGATCGAATTTTTGTTGTAACACTTATTTCTCACATCCCAAACAACTAAGATTTGCGTTTGACAACAACTAAGCAGCAAATAAATTTTATCAACTGTCTCCAAGTTCCTAATATAAAATTCATTGCACCAAAGTGTAATGCTACCTAAATAAGTGACCACATTGTAAAACACTGATGATTTAACTCAACCTGTGTCAAAGTCTTGATAAGCAACCTTGACTGCAGTCTGACTACCAGTTTTTGTAGAAACTATGTAGCACAAGTGAATGTAAGGAAAGAAACGATTTAGCATTGGAAAAAAGAATACTCCTGGTAGACATGGTCCCTGCGTCAGTTTGTCATCCACCAAAGTTCTGGCAAGTGGTCATAACCTGTTATAAGAATAACTTCTGTAACGAACACTAACTAAACTGAATTCTACAACTTCTGGATTTGGAAGGGTAGCATTCAGCAGGAAAACAGTGTTTATCGACCTTTTTCACCTCAATAATATTTATAAATAAATGTTTTCCTCTTCACCTCTTTTTATTAGTCGTTCCAATGGGACGCCAACTTAATGACGATATAATATATAACATAAGTAGTTGTGACTTACCATGGTTGTTTGGTAATTATGAGTACATGCATCGATAAACTTTCGTTTTTGTCATAATTTTGAAATTGCTATGTGGTATGGCCGTTGACGATGCATGGATATTGAGTGTCAGCCACCAACAAATTACTAGTTGATTTCCGACCCGACCAACTGACAGAGAAGACGCGATGGACATACGTAGATAGTTTGTTGTTCAAAATAATAATATTGATTGGCTGACCCACTGTGCGCCTATCTAACTATAGACGTGATCACATAAAGTACATTTTGATTGGTCCCTCACTAGACTAGACTCTTCTCTCCATCCCCATAATTTTCGAGTGACTTTAAAGGCCGCCTAAGCAACTGCTGAGATAACCAATTAAGCCTCTATATTTTATTGAAAACTATTTTCCTGGCCGGAATACCGAAACCTGGTTGGTCACTTCAGTGGTTGCCACGGTGGCCTTTAAAGTCGCCCTAGTTTTCAGACACTTAAACTGCCCAATGATAATTAAGGATTCTTTATCACTTTAAAAATCAGCAGGAAAATTGTAAACCTTGAAATTATGATGAACATTTGTAGATAATCCTGGTGTTTTGTTGATTACATTTTACAGTCTTTCACTTTTATTTCTCCTTTTCTTTTTTTGTTTTCCTTTTATGAAACATTTTGCGCCAAAACCGCCGAATAAAAGTCTGCTGCTATCTATTTATTCTTTGCGTTCTTTCAGCGCACCGCTCTCATGAGGTCAAATGTTTTAAGTTTCGGCGCATTTTGCTGGGTAATTAAATCATTTTAACCTACAAATGTAATTAAAATTATTTTGCTCGATAAGTTAATAGCAGTTCGTAGAGGCCTCTGACCGATTAGAACCCTCAGTTTTCTAACCCTAGTAAATTAAATGAAGTTCTAGGGAACGTTGTCTCATTTAGGAAATAGCTCCACCTAATCAGCAATCTTGGCTTTTGATGAGTTTGAAACATCAAAATCTATTCTCGTAAATAATTGATAAAAGTATTCCTTCCAGAAACAGGTTTATGAACGCTTTTATTGTGTCTGTAAAACAGAATAAGAGTTAATAAACGTCTTGATAAGTTTTGACTTTCATGAGAAAGACTACGAAGACATTTGTGGGCTGTTCTCTGAGCTACAGTTGCAGTTGGTAGATGTCTCAGTGTCACTTAAGACAAAGTTATCATTGAAGCAGTTGGTTGGGCATAGAGGTTTGCAACCGTGCCTGATTACACCAAAGCTTGGTTAGTGAGTGGGTGCATGCCGTAACTGACTGGTTAACTTCCTGTCTCTAGTTTCCCCAAGAAGGTGTGCAATTGTGTGATTAGCTTTTTTGTTCGAACGAATTGACAGAGAGGTTGCTTTGTTCTAGTTGGCTGATACTTTTGTGCGATTGAAGTGAAGCAAGTTGTCTTGGTCTGATTGCTCGCCTCATATACAGTGGGCGAGGGATATGTCGTGCTGATTTAATTCAGCTACAGCGGCGTTCTTTTTCGCTGCTGATTGATTACGTTTTATTAAGGAGAGGTATTCCTTTTTCATTGATTAGTTGGCTATGGGAGTTTGGTCGTTTGTACATGAGTTATCTTGAACTAATTGAATGATGATCCGTCTTCGCTTGCGTCAAGGGTTTTCTTGTAACTGATTTTTCTCAAACAGGTTCGTATATTGCTTTCAGAACGATGTGGAGGTTCGTTGCCAATTCGCTAGAGTACTATGCCTCCTCGAATTCTCGGACCAATTTCGAGTTTGCACGTTCGAGTATTTGGAAGCTGTTCAAGTCGAGTTTATGGTTGCCGTAGTGTACCGACATAAGAGATTTTATACTATGACGTCTGATGGTCAGCTTGTGTTCATGTAGAAGCTGTAGTACTGGTCTGTGTGATCGTCTTACGAAGTGATGTTCGTGATTACTGCAACTGACTTTGTAGATAGCGTTGATCACTTCTTTGTTGATTGTATCTTTTTGTTTGCATAGGATATGTTGTAAGGATTTTGTTGGTTTGTGCAAAACTGAGATCACAAGTGGACTTAGCAATCTCGATATTGTTTAAGAGATAATCTTGATGCATGGGAGGACAATTCTTCTGTAATCTATTGTCGCCAATTTAGTTCGCTCGGAAATTCATTGGACAGACATTGAGTTGGAAAATTTCAAACAAAAGTTTTTTCACAAATCTTTTTGATTCCATCGAACTCCAATGTGTGTCTGCTCGTCTAAATAGGGTTGTTACACCGGTTTACTGGTATGTTGTCAGATTATTGCTGCTGTAATTTATAAACTGGCTTGTACATCATATTATAAAATCCAAGTGAGGTAGAAAAATAAATTTCTGACGTCTTGTGACCTCGTGGAGATCGCTTTTATACAGAATAAAACCTGTACAGGCTATTGCATGTTTGAATAGTAAATGGTTTGTTTGTTTTCGTGCACACTTGAGTTTCGAGGTGTTGAAGGGTTTAAACCCGCTCAATCAAGTATTATCATAGACTCTTAAACATTATGTTTAGCTAGTAGTTTAGTGCGTAAACCTGTACGATGTCACTGATCTAGATTCATCCAACCACCATGAATCTTGTTCAAAGACATATACTAAAACTATACATACTAACTTAGAAAATGATCACTTCAAATTCGCAAACATTTTTGGATTTCAGGTTGGTATTCATCATGTACTGAGGTCAGTTGCAGAACCGTTTGAAACCTGGGAGCACTGGACAGCTGTTTCGTTCTTATATGGGACTCTTCAAAAGTGCACACCCATGACAGAAGCAAGAAATAGGCACCACTGAATTCCGACTTAGTGACTCAATGTCACAGGGTTGGCTGAGGAACCTGAAGGTTCTGGGTTTGATCCGTGGCGGGGCCATGGGTGCACACGGGTGAAGAGTCCCGTTTTAGGACGAAACAGATGTCCATTGCTGCCAGGTTTCTAATGATTCTCCAACTGATGTCAATCTACGATGAATACTAACCTGAAGTCAATAAATCCCCACAAGCCTCATAATTGAATTTCAGGATTTGCTTCGACAGATGACGGAGTTAGACAATGAAACATTTAACAGCTTAAGTGCGAATTCTCGCCTAAATATATACACTTGCGAGAAAAAGTATTTGGCACTGAAACTAGGATTACCAACTGAAATTTTTCAAAACAGGTAAAAGAAATAAAAATAGGAATCTCATACACGCATTATCAGCCTTCTTACTTTGAGTTATTCATTCTGCTTATCTTATAGTATAATTAAATAGCTCAGTTCAGTTGTTTTTTTTAATTGAATCCTCAATCATTTCCGTACGACGCGAGCTTCCGAAATAATTCACCGTTGTGCAAGATTAGTTATTTCATTTCTATGAATTATAATGCGTTGCGGACATTATTTACTTGCATATATGCGTATAGTATATGGTACAAGAGTCGTGAGTCGTCAGTCCTGTCTCCCTTTATATACAGTGGGAAGGGAAGAAAGAGTGCTAGTTTCAAAAAGAATGTAAATATCTCATCTCATCTTGTGTTCAGTTGAAGTTTCTGACTCATACACTTCAACGAAGCGTAGCAAACTCAGTAACACCTGGACAGTAAAGCAAGAAGAAAATCAGAAACATGTGACAGTGTTAAAGTTATGTATTTTGCTGTTATCACTCCAAACATTTAATATCAAAACATATCAGCTTAATTATCACGTTACAACAAAATGAAAAGTGTATATTATTGCATATTTAAATAATTTATGCATCACAGATTTTTAGAGGAAAAGAACAAAATAAAATGATAAAATAAGCGACTAGAAAGTCAAGACACTATTGTTACAAAAGGATTATGTAGGTGGTAAAAAGAAAATGAAAATCCATCATCTCAGAGACTTGGGTATAAAAAAAAGAGAGTCAGTTGGACGTTACAAAAAAACGCTGTAGTAGATTAGTATCAATGACCAACTGAAAGAGAAGTGCTCAATGATGACATCGAACATGCTAGATGAAGAGAAAGGAGACGCAGTGAGCGAATAAAGGCAAAAAAATATGTGTACATGAAAAAACAAAAGTTATTTACATGCCAATATGTTTATATATCTTGAAGTATTAAAAATATATCATGAGAATAAAAATTTGTCGCAAAATAATTTAACTAAATAATAATTCTCTTGGCTAAAACATTTTGCTGTGTTCATCTGGTTACTGAGGGCTTTATTATTACTGTTACCGTCATAACACATTTGCACAGTATTTGTATACAAGGCAGAAGAAGAAGAGGGATTTATACACGCTAAAGGATCTAAATAACCTTTGCCTATAGTTAAAATACGACTCAGGGAGTACGAAGTCGATGATGTTGTCGGTATGAGTGGAGCAATTAAAACAAAATCTTCATCTGACATAACACCATGATAATGAAACACATGAATGTTAAACAATACCGATGGAAATGATGATGATGCGGAAGAATGAAATAAACGATTTGATGAATTCTCACTGGTTGCTGTCAGCATCGTTTCGGTTGCTTTCATCGATGACGACTTATTGTCAGTGTTGATATGTGTTACATTGATATGTATTAAGTAACCATGTGTTGTAATCAATAGAATATCTGATGATAAAGTAAGCCATTCCATTGCACGAATTGAACCAAACATCTCTTTATCATATAAGGAGAAATAAAAGAGGAATACAAATAAAATACCAAAAACACCAAAAATAAATTTGTGCATAAAATATACTTCTTAGTTAAAAGACTGAAATCAATGATGCTTTGAATAGTCAGCTCACAATTTTTCTTGATTTTTTGTTGTCCATTTGCAATTTCGATGTATTAAATCATTCGATTGCTTTAATAATAATACACCAATAATCTGTACATAAATTCACATCACTCCTTCATTTATTCTTGGTGTATTTACGGTTCTATAAGTTAAAAATCATTGTGAACATAGAAGATCAGCTCTCGCACTTTAAAAAAAACACAGTCAACGTTTATACTTTCGATATCCCCCCCTCCAGTGTAATGTTATCCTCAGTTCGACGAAACAAGGTAAAATTACAAAATACCAATAATCAAAACGAATAAAGTCAGTAGTTCCAATCTATTTGAACCAGTGAAAAGTTTGGCAGAAATGCTTGTAAATTATAAAGTTAAATGAGCTAGACAGAGCGTGTTATGTTCACAATGATGTCGATGTTTGCCACAAAGGTTGACAAGTTGGTCAACCAAAACGCCTCCTCAGACAAAATCTTTATCTGTGCATATGCATCTTAAACCAAAAATAAACTTTACCATTTCTGGAGTGTTATTTATTGAGTAGAGACAGACTTAGAGGGAGTACTACCAGTCACTGAGATACAAGTACATCCAGCTGACGGGTCCCAAATAGAACGAAACGCCTTTCCTCAATTCCACTGTTAGTCATCACTAAGACAAGAATTACAATAAAATACGTTCCATGTTGTAAAAACTGGAATAACTAGTTGAGTAAGGCGACAAGTAAGCAGTAAGACAATATAAATTATCAACAAAATATCCAATTTATTCACCAGAAAAATGTTCAAATCATTTTTCTTTTCTTTGAAATCAAACAAGTTTTAGTATAATCCAGGATTGTCCAGAAAATCAATGGTAAGTTCATATACATACTTATGATGTACACTGAGTACAAGTTTGTACTGTCTATCCAACTAAGTAACTTATTCATTTCAGAATAATTCGTTTATGTTACTATTACAGTAGTAAATACGCTGTCTATTGTGTTCAACGATGAATGAATCCGAAGAGAGTCCTGGACTTAGATTAGTTAATTCTTAGTACTCCTCAAACAAGGTATATCTTCAAAATTCGGACAACTTATGTGACTTTAGACATTGAAACGTATGTCACTGAGTACCTGAAGTATATAAGCTTCTTCAAAATTTGCTTTCCTACGTGTACTATAACGCACAAAACTCAGTTTCAACAGTTGCTTTTAACTAACTACTAATATGCGGCAATAAAATGTCATTTAGCTTAGTAGCTATATTGCACACATGGTCAATAAGTTATGTTTCGTTTTCAAGAACAGACAATTATATTATCATTCCGACTATCTGAGATAGTCTTGGTCTGGTAGACTAATATTGATACTGTGTGGTGATTAAAGGTGAAAAGAACCTCGGACAGATTCGAACTAGCGACCACCAGGTTTCCGGTGGCGACTACGATCAAGCGATAGTAACGCATCACGAATTTACAGGGTAGTCCAGCAAAACCCTGGCCAATTGAAATGAAATAAAAATATAGTTAGCAGTACGACTTCGTAGCTCAGTTGGTAGAGCATCAAGCCTAAAACCCGGTGGTTGCTGATTTGAATCCGGTCGCAGTCCCGATTTTCATCTTATCTACAATCATTGCCCAGTAATAATTACATTAGCTTACAAATAATAAGGAATTCTTATACTAGTTACTGTGTATAAGTCTGATTCTTTTTGATAAAATGATCTAAAAATATCCAGTGTACAGAGAACATTACAACAATATCTATAAAGTGTAATTCAGTTTACATATGGATGGATGGTATTTTAAAAAAGATCTAGAAGTAGTCCACAAAAATTTACGTCAGTACAATTGAAAGTGTACGTCTACAATAATCAAATTTCACATACATATTACTGGGAATTAAAAAAAAAATGAACAGGCACATCAATCATCATTATTATTATCCATTAAGCAATATTACCTGACGTTGAAAAGTTTTGTGAAAATGGTTTATCCAAATGACACGTTAAACTGATACTTTGTAATAAATTCTGTGAAACAGCTGACCAACAATCGAGTTTACCATCTAGTTATGTAAAAAATAAACAAATATTACAACATAATAAGTTAAAACAAATATTGTTTCAATAAAAAAAAATATTATCAATGAATATCAAACTATTTGTGTATATAAGCTTTGACAGAGGAGGATGTCAAAGCCAGGATCGGAAAAGCAAAACAGGCGTTCATTAATCTGAAATCAGTGTAGAGACCCACTCTACTCCATTTGGCATAAAGAACAAGATGAAGATTTTTAACACTAAGTCAGTCAAGTCACTGCGTCTATATACTTCAGAAACTTGGCGCGTTACGAAAAGCGAATCCGACAAACTACAGACATTCATCAACATCTGCCGCCTAAGCCCACTCGATACTGAAGATCAGATGGCCAGAATAATAAGAATAGGCAACATGGAACTCTGGCTTGGCAACGAACGAACCAACCGGGAACCCACTGCCCAACGAATATGCAGAGGCAAGTGGGGATGGATTGGATTGGACATGCACTGAGAAAGCCATTCGGAGACATCACGCGCCAGGACAGGCCGTCGAGTGGAACCCGCAAAGGAAACGACGAGTTGGGCATCTGAGCCAAGGATGGCACGGAGGAGATTGTGTGAAGAAGAAATGAAAGCTTTTGGGCAGTCGTGAAGCCAGGTTGAAAAGACTGCAGAGAACGGAGTGAAACGGTGACGTGCTACTGAAACCCTTTGTTCCACTAGAAACCCACGGGACAAATAATAAATAATGATGCGTATATAAGAAGCACAAGTTATGCTATCTATCCAATACTTTTCAGTCCTTTGTACCCGCTCAGTAATTGGTTAGGATTACAGCCAAAAGTTGCTCAAGAAACGATGACTAGTTTCAATATTTACTGAAATGAAGTTGTACAGTCCTAGGGTGACTAAATATGAAGTTATTTTATATTTAAACTTGAAAGGCAAATGACTCCATATCAGTGTTTTTGAGTAGGCTAATTAAACCCTCAAAGTTCGAACTCATATTATGTAGGGGTATTACTCTCAAGGTTATCCGACGAGGAACTACCATTTTTAAGGTTGGATTCATCATTTAAAAAAATAAGGGATACTGCCCACGGTCTACACCTAGCTAATATCATAAACTCCGGAGCAAAACCTTTTAAATCCAAAAAACGCTGCTTGGCGAAGGTAGATGAGTGCTATTTTAGCCTGTACAATGAATGCATCATTATTTGATAATGCTTGATGCAAAAACAGAGTTGATAACTAACAAGAAAGTGTATTACTACAAGTTGTTGAACTTAGAAATGAAACAGAATATAAGAAACAGTATCGCACTATTGAAAAGAGAAGAGAGAACAAATGACTGAAGGGTGGTTAATACGATGTTCAGGATTTCTAAGACAATAAGTGTATCCATCTGCATTGTTTTGATAGATTTTGAATCATATATCTCCAAGATTTGTAAGTCATGAATTCCTAACATTTTTGTGACTCCAGTCAGTTAGCCTAAATATAACTACGCGATACAGACCAAACAATAGTGAATACATGAATTGACGCCACGTTTAGATCTATTCAAATTCAATTTCTTTCCAAACTATTCCAACTCATAATCCATAAGTTTCACTAAACGTGAAGAATTCCATTACGACATCCATTATGATGGAAGACACGTAACTTATTTATACTGTGCATTTCCAAAGGTAATACTCCATCCACTTGATAATATGAAGAATGATTTAGAAAAATGTGAGGTGATATGAAGAAGGATGATTCCAATGGCGTTGTGAAGCTTTCACAATTAAACTATCCAGCTCAACACACCTTCAAAACTAGTAGAGTGTATTTCCTCTGTACCACTATGATTTCAAAGTGCTTATCTTTGAAGAGTTCTCCATGACAACTATCACTGACATATAGATCATGAGTTAATCGGTCATAATCAACGTACATCCGTGTGCTTAATTTCTGGAGGCCATTACAATACACCTGGTGAATTACGTCACATGTTTTCACCATTAGGAGGCTGCTTACGTCAGCTAGTAGCGTTCAATCACGAATGCTCCAATAAAAGTTCACAGCAGCTTAATAACTCATACTCAAACGACAAATATACTAAACGTAAACATTTATCTCTTTGCCTTCATTGCAAACAACATTGAAATACTTCACAGAAATACATTAACACTTACGTGGTTTTAAATAGGTCCAAACGTAAATATGTACATTGTCTTCTGACGAATCATCTTGATTAGCCGACATTGAAGTGTCAAGTAGAAAATGAGTCACCAGAGAAGAAGACGATGATTTTGACTCAGATGATGATGATGATGATGATGATAATGGTACAAACCAAGATAAACGTAGTTTGAAACAATTCGACAATGATGATGAGCATATTTCATGTAATGCATTGTTCCACGTATAACACAGTAATTTACCACCATTTTGACTGAACCAAACATCAGAATCACTAAGTATGGAAAAAAAATGACGAGAATGAAACGCATACGTATGTATGCTACTTGACGGTAGATTTCAATATCACTAAATATACATTGACAGCTACTGAATGTTGAATAGTTGGCCTTCTAAGGACGATTCTAAAATACCATATTATGGCAGAATAATGTATGAAATTGATGAAGAAGGTTCAATAACTCACTCATTGGTTGCTGTCGAAAATCCTAGTTATTGTAGCTGAATTTAGTGGTTTAAAGATATAGGTGCTGAACACGGGGACTATAAGTAGTAAAATTTGGTCGTTGAAAAAGTTGTTGATGCATGACATTAAGGTTTTCACATATAAGAAGGTTCAGGATGGTCGGACAGAGATGTGGAACAAGTCGATGAGATCCCTGAGTGTGGGAGATGTAGACTACCTGACAACAGTCCTCGAAATATTGGAAACCAGTGATTGAGGATTCCTAGTGACATGGCTGAAGATAGGTCACAATGGTGCAGATGTATTCACTCCTTGACATCTTCTACATCTTGAATATATATGCACTAACCTTCATCTTCCAATTGCTTATTCTCTCACGCAAAACTTTATCTATCTTGATATGTGGCAACTTGAACTGATGCACCTGCGTGTGCGGTTCTACGTTGATTTATCTGTTTGTTTTATTTAATTAGGACTAATGTCAATTGCTATGGTGTCAAATATTCTGTCAGGTTATTCATGAATGAGTATTTTGGTGGTGTCAATTGGTATCATATAACAATCGATTTGTTTTGACATTTTACGTACCGAATGATGAAATAATAACTGATTACAACACCTGAATTAGAAGATAAAATATCAGCGACGCTTAGTTAACAATAAACGAGTACATGTTATCAGAAACTCCTTCAACATACATTAAATATACGAAATTTAACTATAAAACTTTGATTTATTTATGCTTTCCGGCTGTTTCCCAAAAACACGTTGAATGTCAATGATCGTTTCACTAACAAGTGATAGAAAAGAATTAGGAGCTAAGGACTATACTACCGAAACGAAAAATTAATTTGCTTTTACGACAACATCGGTAAGACATAAACATCAAGAAATCATTTACAAAATGCTCTGGTTTATTCAAGAATGGACAATATTTTCTCTTTCTGTTGGAATATCCGCATACAGCTAAGGGTTGATAGGCGACAATAAGAAAATTCGATTTACTGCTTACAGATGAAAAGAGAGTTAAATGTTGTGGCAGGTTCACCTTACGATTAGTAATTCACAGCGTTTATGTAACCAGATTTGAAATTTCACAGAAATTCAAATCTTACAAAACAAAGTGATATTATCAGGCAGAGTTTTTGAAAACTAGTTGTATTTCACAAAGTTCACCAAAAATTCAGTTAGTGTTACAGTGAAAACTGTATAAAACATCGAGAAATAATTACCATATATCTTTCATTTACTACAAGTAACCAAAAAGCATGCGTAATATATGCTACTGACAGGGTAAAATATTTTTGAAATCATAATAAAAATATATGCTTTAGTCTTCAATTGGATGCTTGCACTCATAGTAATTTCGCATATTAGTAAACTTAAGATAAAACAATTCTAGAAATAAGTTTTTAAGAAATCGAGTTTTAAACACTTGATTATCAATGATTAATATAAAGGAAAGTAAAATATCTGATAATTACAAAATTAAGAAAAAGGTTTGTAGCAGAAAGTAAATAGAGGAGAAGAGTAGTCAGATTATTAATTACACAGTAAAGTGAACATGGGGCAATCTGACTGGTAGTGGCTAGCAGTGGAATACAGGACGTATGTTTCTTCCTATGTGGGACTTGTCACCTGAATATACCTACGGCCATGTCTCACAGCCGTGTAACAGGACAGAACGGAGTGCAGCGTAGTATACTCGTCCTTTGATAGATAGTTGGATACCTCGCCAGTTGGCACCACAGGCACCAAATAGGTGGCAAGCTAAGGTCTCGTCAGTAACCAGCCTATTCGAGATCATGCCACTCCCCGAGTAAGTGAAGTGGTCGACATATTCCACTACTTCAATCCCTATCATTAAAGTAAGAGTACTTGCAGCAGACCAGTCCTAGAACATCATCTTACATTCTACAGGTACGAAATGCATGTCGTGCTAAACACACTCAGATTTCTGATCAACGCGTTCACAAGACCCTTCATTTTGTCAGCATCTTCACTAACCTGATAGAGCAATATCTTCTGCATAGTCTAAGTCAACGAGATGACCGTCAGGGAGTAGATCAATCTTGATGAAGTCAAACGTACTGAAGAATATGTCTCTCAGTACGTCTATGACGAAGTTAAGTAGAAACGGTGACAGTGAGCATCCCTGGTGGGCACCAGTAGTTGTCCTCAGTTCACATGAAAACGCTCCCCATATACCCTCACTTGGTTGCGTGAGCTCAAGTAGAGTTTGGAGGATAAAGCAGTTGTGTTTATCCTGTGTAGGGACCAACGTACCGTATTAGTGTGCCGGACTTCGAGTAGCATATCAATAAATCTTGACCCCAATCCCAAGGAGTACGAACTGCTGGGTGTACGCTTTATTATACTATATTTATAACCTTATAACCCCTTTGTTGAATAAAAACATAGGACCGTTAGTTACTTAAAAGTGGAAATGCGGTTCATTGGACTTTCAAACAATGAACCAAAGGCTCATGTTCTGTCTCACTTATCTCTAACATAGAATTGAGATTTTCAGCAAAGATGAAAAAATCTCTAATAATCAGTACTAATCTTTTGACCACAGGATCATTTAATTTTGTCATGATAGTTCCTAGTGTGAAATGAGTTGGTGGTAGAAGTGAGCATAGATAATGAAAATAAATAAAGTCTGTCTCTAAGCTATTCAATTACATTATCAACTAAGAAACCGTAAATGTTTATATGATAATTTGATACGCCAAGATTTCCCCTTGGGCCTAAGAAAAGTTACTACTTACTACTTTTACATGCAAGTCCGACGTAAAATAGGACATTGACTGTAAAAGACGCCCTAGCTAATACTTAAATAACCTATTACGTTTCTCCCTTTTATCTAATAGGTAGGTAGGTATTAATAAATAAATAAAACTAATTGGTCATCTCAGTAGTTTCTAGGGTGGTCTTTAGAATCAATCGTTCCTATTCCTCTTCTGAACCAGTGATAAGTGATAAGTGTGAAAACTAAACGCATAATTCATTTCCAAAAACAGAACATTTAAGTATATGATTGTCTCAGATCTCAATAGGTTAACTGTGCATGTCACTACATGCATGAGTACATATACATATACACCAAATTAAGGCTTACCAGATTTCTGGGAGAATAACACCTGAGTGAATGGGTTGATCTAGATTGACAAAAGTTGTTTTTTCAAATTTCACCATTAAGGAAGATAAAATATGGACAGTGACAATGCAAATTTGTGGCGATGCTAAGCATAAAATATAATGAATACATCCAGTAGACGGTGACGATGGTCGACGATGGTGTTGAGAATGAAACTGATTCTGGTGATAATTATATTTCATATAAGCCAGCATACATTTAACTCCATGAAAAAGATTTTCACACTCTTCATTGTCTATTGAATGTGTACTCAGTTTGGAATATTGTGATAGTTGTATTTTTAAAAGACAAATATACTCCATAGTTTTGTAATTAAATCTATGAAAAACAAATTAAAAATATCATAAAAGGAATAAAATCAACAGTGTTATGGAATACTGTTCTTCAGTATTTATTCATAAGGTGTTAGAAAATAAAATTATATAACCTACAAAACTCATACGTCTAACTACAACAGATAACGATTTATTCTTACTGAGAGTGCCTGGCTGCATTTAAAGAATGAAATTTTATAGATATTAGAGGTATGAAGTCCAACGACTGGTTACGCTATAGACCTTAATTAGGTGCGCTATTTCCCCACATTCCTGATTGCTTGATCAGTTTGAATCTAACTAATAACTTTTTAAAGCATAAAATCATGTGAATGTAATGTTACCATCTTCATCTACGCTTATTCCTACTAAACAACTTTCTACTAATTTTCATTGTGAATCATAACAACCAAGAAAATGTACCAAATATATTAAGTTCACACTTGAAACTTCAATGTATTAGATACTCTTTAGTCATAAAAAGCCCCTAATTTCATGACATTGCCAAAAATCTCAAATAATAAATTTATGAGATGGTTGGAGCCAATAGGAAGGAAGTCTTGAACACAGGTTTCATGCTTGGTGGCACTCGCCACTAATGCGTATCTGTACCATCAAGAAATCTCATGCCTCCCTATGCTATTCGAACACACATCATGTAATGTTGCAGTTACAGGCAACATCACTGAGTTCTCTAGGTTGTAACCAGTCTCCCGTCGGACCAGATAGTATATACTGATTGGTCACTGATCAGTAACTAATTTCATGTTGTCTAGTCCTAAGCGCTGACGGAATTTTGTTGATCATTTGAAATGTGGTCAACCAGCTAGGAGATTTATCATTGCAGTGGACATTGACTGGTGGTTGACGGTAATCGACCCGGACCTAGGTTTCATGTGTCATCGGTAAACAGTATCTGCAAATCTGTGAAACATATAGACTACCGGTACTTTGTTTGAAATCTAGTTCAGCAAACTTAACAAATCGTTCCAATTAGTGAAAATCTAAGAAGTACTGATGTGTTGAGATTTTTGTTTGATTTTATGGTTCGAACACAAATATGGTACATCAAAGGCACCAAGAAATGCGACGAACAAAATAATGCAACAACCTCAGGCAGACATAAAACGAATGGAAGTGGATAAAAAAAGAAAAGCACAACGAGAACAGAATGATTAGAAAGATAGTTCAATAAGATATATAAAAAGCAAAACATTCATTACCTTTCAGCAGCAGAGGATACAACAAAGCTACAGCATTACTAGCACTGATTTCAACTCTGAGCTAAATCTGATAACATCTCAAGCCACTGGGTTGCGCGACCTCTCGGACCCCACCCAGAGTCATGATGCAGTAAAATCTGCTAACTTGATACTTCATCCCACAGCGCCACGTCATACACTGACCACCTCTCCGCCTCTTCCATCCAGTCCCAGGGTTAGCAAAGAGTGAATGGTATAGACACCGTTGGGACGACTTGCGTAACATTTACATAAGTGATGCAACAAGGGGGATTCTGAGGGATTACTCAAGATTAGGTGTATGACAGCGAAAATGAATTCATTTAAATGTGATGTTTATGGTTTATAGGATCAGGAGGAATGTATTTGTGTACTCCCTTTTTAAGCTAACTGAGAAAATATTCATAGGTGTGCAAGAAGCAGTTAGTCCGGCGTATTAACACCGATGAAGTAGTTGTCGGTAATTTATCGCTTCTGCATTACCTGGAGAATACTGAACATCATATTAAAACGGATCAGACTTTCTCTCTTAAGTATTAGGCAGTAAGTAGTTTGTCGAAAGAAACCTGACGATATCTTCTAAACATAGCCAAAGCCAAGCAAACCAGATATATGCACCAAAAAAGTACATCAAACTGCCCTGTTAACCCAGTCCAGAATACGGCTCAGAAACACTAAGTTGTCATTTAATCACATTGTGACCAGCTATCCAATATTATTATCATCCACGTTTCTTTCCTGAAAGTAGTCTTGTTATGCAGTATATTATTATTATCATTATTACTATTATAATCACAACTCTACAACCCGTATGAACTCACTATATTGAGCAGGCAAACAAATGAAGATTGTTTAGTCTGCATGCAAATGTGGCTCATCAGTTTAATCATTCTATTTTCAATCCAGAAGCAAATCAGATGTTTGCAAAATACAAGGCCCATGGTGAGAAATTTCACAATGGTTTCCTATGGAAACTAAAATATTTGACCACATGATATGATCTGCTCGACATCATGATTAACGTCAAGATTGCGAGTATGAAGACCGTACGAAACAAGCTAATGACTGATTTGAGTAGTTGTAGACCGTTCATGCCAATCAGTAGTGGTCACTAGCGAGATATAGGTCATCTAAGCACCAGAAGACTGTTTTTTTTGTTTGAGACTGGACTTGTCTGCAGTCCACCTGGATGCATTCAGCTTAGAAAGACCAAGTGTTCAAAGCATACAAATTCTGGTAAGCTACTTGAGCAGACGGGTCATTAACTAAAATCAAAATACGCAATCTGCGATGAGATACATCAAGCCGTGTACACCATCGATGCATTCGGCTTCGAACGAGCGAAACAACAGTCCTGTGTTTAAATAACCTTGATTTCGCTGACGAGCATTGTTGATTGATGTGTTTAACTTACAACTACTGATTTAGTAGTATATTTCAAACGATTTCCAAACTACTTCGTCAATCAATCTTGGTCATTAAAACTACCAAGACAGTGGTTTCAGCTGTTACACAACAGTATAAGTAGCAGTATGGTTAGTTAGGCATGTAATCAGTTGCAGAGAATTTATATTTTTCACTCTTCCTAAACCTTCAGTGATACAAGCTGTGAAATTCACAAAAATTCAAAAAGTTGACATCCTGCAATGGGCCAAATGCAGTGCATTTCTCAAATTTTCGACTGAAATGACTATTGGACATTATTTTCATCTCGGTACCGTTATTAAGTTACTTACATAGGCACTTAATCACTTCAACTGGCAACAATCGTCTGTTTCAGACTGTCTTCGAAGATGAGTCGTTATATCATTGGAATATGACTTCAGCATAAAGCACAAATCAACTTCCCAATTCGATCATGTAGATGCACTATCACGTCTACTCAATAGTCGAAAATTGAGGAATAAAGACGCTATCATTGCTTCAGTCTGTGATGAAGATAATGTTAACAGAGTTCTAACAAATGAAACTCAAACGCCCAACTATCGCTCACTCTGGCAACCACACTCTTCATAACCCAGTTTCGCGGCAGGTTCCATAGTTCATTTTATAAAGTTGGCCACCAAAAGTTCATTTACAGAAGTTAGAACATTTTTGACAGCGACGTCGGTTCTTATTCACTGTTGATGACTATGGAAAGTTTGAAAGCCATGCTATGGTTTCTACTGATCTTCACAGCTTGATGAATCATATCCTGGCGTAAATAGAATAAAACCTCTTGTTCGCAGCTATGCGCACAGGAAAAACATTGATGAGCAGATCAAAGATGTTAGTCGATGCAGAAAATGTGCCCAAAGACTAAACAGTTGTGGGTGTGCACTGCTGAGGAGTCGCACAATAGGATGAAACAGTTGTCTAGTGCACTCAAGTTCCCAGTGTTTCCGCAACTGATGTTAATCCGACCTGAGGTCAATAAAAATCCCCACAAACCTCAAAATTGAATTCAATAAATATATTCTAAGACACTACCAATGAAACCATAGTTTCGGGTGTTTTCAGATTTTCGCAGTCAATTCAGTAGCCAACACACAGGCACTCCTAAAGATTCTCCTCAATCAAATGGTAAAATTGATCGATCTGTTGAAACTTTCAAGCAAGCCTTTATGAAGGTGAAAGAAGAAGGGACAACTGGAAAGATTCTGGATAGTGTTTTACTACTTCCCTGTTCAATACCGGTTGCATCATTCCTGCACGAATTATTCCCAGTAGAGATAGTGTCCGGCTAAAAAGTTGGGACTATCCAAGATGTAATTAACCCGAAACTAAAAAGGGAAAGGCGGGAAGAAAAGTATAGAACGAGGAAAACTGATTCAAACACCATCACGGTACAAAACGTCAAGGGTTTAAAGAGAACCAACGAGAGTACGTTCATGATTTCCGTCATTTTCCAGCAAAGTGAGCTCTAGGGGAAATTGTTTCAAGAAGGGAAAACGTCGTCTACAAGTTAACCTTGCAGAGAAAACGTGGTTTAGACACCCAAACCGTATACGAGTTCCATCAGAGACGGCAAAGAGCAGGCAGCAGAAGTTAACCCTGGAAATTCTATTGGATACTTCTGATATAGAACAGTCGACAGGAAAAATTGCAGATCGACCACAGCCGATTCCAGTAATACATAGAAGGCGAACAAAGATCTTCCACATGGATACAGGAATAGACTAGTACACCTTTTATAGGGGGATAATAAGAAGCTATTGGTAGCTTATGAGCTTCAATTTTGATTCATATTGCGGTGTAGTAAGGATAATTTTAGTGGGCAGATTCATGTTTCTATAGCGCAATCAGAATAAATTATTGTCTTTTTCTCAATGCCTTTTTAATTAGAGGAAAACAGGATGCATATTCAATATTTTTGCCGACTAAAAATCATCCTTACAGTCACAAGCTAGTCTTCATACTCTGATATTTCGTGGCTTAGAAGAGCGCAAAGAATTGGAGGAAGCAGTTGTTACTGGGGTCAGTTCGAGTATATTCACTTTCAGTATGGTACTTAAATTATCTAAGTTCAAATTCTACTCAGTTACTTGAAACATTGAACCACTGTCATTATTGAACACTCTAGGTGACGAGTATAACGTATGTAAAGAATACATGCCAAAATAAACTTCACTTATTTACCTTTCAGAATTTATATATATATTAATTAAAGGATATCAGTAAGCTATGAAATACTTTCACTAAAACCACATGAAATTCAAAAACAACTAATCAAAACCAACTTACCCATAAACCCTTAGTTCACCTAAGATAGTTAAACAAGTCACCATTGTCCTTGGTGTTTTGTTATTGGCTGAATCTTTCCTCACATACTTCAACTTACTATCGCCGTCACTTAGCCAACATAAGCGGATTGGCCAATCAGATAATTTACGACATGTATCATGTCCAACGATTCCTTGAGAATATTGTTTTAATACATAAAGTCTAGGCCATGAGGCTAATACAATTGACGATTCTGATGAAATATCAGTAGTGAGTGGGATTAGGAACAATAAGCCTATTCGGATGTATTGCTCATCATCCAACGATGATTCAGCATAGTAATTGTAACCTCCAAGCCAAAGATTATAACAATCATCTAGTAAAATAAAATAGATTAACGGAATGTAATCAGTGATAATAAAAATATATGACAAACAATTAAGGTACCAGACACAAACTTATTGTAGAAACAAGAAATTTAGGGATCTAAATTGGTTAAAGATAAAGAAGAAATAAAGCGAAGTCAAATACATATATGCAGTCAATTACGAACCAGTTCATATCACAACGGAATGTAATGCATTAGTAACATGATCCGAATACAGAAAACCCACGTGGAATGGACAACTAATTATGTTTCTATAGTTGAGTGCCTACCACGATGAAATGAAAATGACACCAGTAGTTTTGCAAAGGAATATTTGTACCTTGGTTGTGTATGAGATGAACCATCAGCAAAATATTCTTCAGACCTGGGCTTTATCAGCCATCAACTGTTGGCTAATATGTTAAAAGGTGGCCTTCACAAGTAAGTAACAGTTCACATGCTGCTAGGGAGCAAGAAGAAGAGATTGCTATCAACAACAACATGATAGCATATTCCAAAATATTTGTATGAGTGAAAACAATAACATCAGAACTGATATTCTTAAATGTTTCATTGATGTGATGTGAATGCCATTAAAAAAACTAGACTTAATACTGAGGGAAGAAGATAGTTTAACATTTTCGTTGCAGTTCAGCGAAAAGTTCTTACATCAACCGTGGAATTACCTTAATTATTATACCTAGTCATTATTTCCAAAATTACATTCCAGTAACTGGGATCTTTCTATTACATGTACAAAATAAACACTGAATATACCGTAGGTTACCAAACGCCATATAAAGAAAACAGTAGAGTTAAATTCTAGAATTTGGATAATGTAATTAGAAGACGTAGATTATCTGGAAAATGTGATGTATTAGCGCTATACATTTCGAACAATCTGATCACACATTTACTTGTTAAGGCACTATATATGAAAACTGGAAGTGGGGGAAAGACACATATGACATAAAGGAATTCAATAATAAGAAAGATAATGAGAAAAATAAAAGATAAGATTTGAAGGCAGTCTTGGTAACACGATAAAATAAGTACTACCAAGGTAGGCTTAATGTAAGGACAAACTGTTTTTGCACGCACAATGGGAGGTTAAATTTATTTATGGCTAGCGCCTCAACAAACTTAAGTATACGCCCCTGACAGACGCGTGGTGTGGTTGTGATGGACAAATGTGATTACAAAAACAAGATGATGTCCATCCTTAGCGATGAAAGTAAATTTATGGCTGATGTTCCATCAGACGACCTTAGAAAATTAGAATGCAAAGTAACATCTAGTCTGGTAAAACTCCTGAATATCAATGTTATCAACAAGGAAGAATTTGCTTCCCTCAAACCAATGGGGTCTGAGCTACCTAATCTGTATGGATTGCCTAAAATTCATAAAACAGATAATCCTTTACGTCCTATACTCTCCATGTTCCGTTCACCTACACATAAAGTGGCGAAATGGTTAGCAAAAACTCTAATTCCTATTCGAAATGATTTATGTAAGTTTTCTTTAAAAGATACTTTTGAACTTGTTAATTATGTCAGTGATATTAATATCAAAGATAAGAGATTGTATTCATTTGATGTCAACTCCTTATTTACTAATGTACCCCTAATTAAAACCATTGACATTCTTTGTGATCATATATCTTCCAGTAATCCTTCTTTCCCTATCCCCTCAACGTGTTTGAGAGAGCTGTTATTATTGTGTACTGATAAAGTTCATTTCACATTTGAAGGTGAACATTTTCGACAAATAGATGGTGTGGCTATGGGAAGTCCCTTAGGACCATTGCTAGCTGATATTTACATGTCACACATTGAGGGCTTGACCGGCGATCTCATCAATAAAGTTACTCTCTATAAAAGATATGTTGATGATATAATCGTGATATGTGATAAGCATGAAGATGGACATGTTTGTTAGAAAGACTTAACAACGTACAAAACAACATAAGCCTGACACGTGAAGAAGAAAAAGAAAACCGTCTGCCATTCTTGGATATACTCCTAAGTCGTAGAAATGATGGTTCAATAAAACGGTCGATCTACAGGAAACCTACTTGGACAGGTCAGTATTTAAGTTTCCATAGCTTTTGTCCAACCCAATACAAGCGAGGTTTGGTAACTTGTCTATTTAAAAGGATCGAGCGTATTTGTACGGAGGACTCAATGGATGATGATATCAAAATACTAACGGAAACATTAGTGGAAAATGGATATCCATTGAAGTTCATAAACCGCTGCAAAAATCAGCGAGGATTCAAACCTGATCTGTACTCTGTTTCGAAGAAATGCGTTTACATCGCGTTACCATACAGAGGAGAATCTAATAGCATAATATTAAACGAAGGTTAAGGTCTGCTGTTAGCAAAACGTACTATGCAGCTAAGCTTATCATAGTTGAGAAGACCAAACACCTGCTGCTACCTAGACCTCAACGCTGTATAAACGATTGTGTCACATCCCACTGCGTTTATAAATTTACATGTGTGTGGACAAACATACATAGGGACGAATCGTGATATGCACTTGAGGGTAGGGGAACATGTTCCAAAGTGGCTACGAAAGCAGCTGGATTCACAAACATTGATAAGCGCAGATGGCAGACAACCATCATCATCCATTGCGAAACATATCATTGATAAGAGTCACAGAATTGATATCAAGACAGCCTTTACAATTTTGTACAGAAACTGTCAGGGGCGTATACTTAAGTTTGTTGAGGCGCTAGCCATAAATAAATTTAACCCCCATTGTGTGTGCAAAAACAGTTTGTCCTTACATTAAGCCTACCTTGGTAATGCTTATTTTATCGTATTACCAAGATTGTCTTCAAGTCTTATCTTTTATTCCTCTCATTATCTTTCTTATTATTGAATTCCTTTATGTCATATGTGTCCTTCCCCCACTTCCAGTTTTCATATATAATGCCTTAACAAGTAAATGTGTGATCAGATTGTTCGAAATGTATAGCGCTAATACATCACATTTTTCAGATAATCTACGTCTTCTAATTACATTATCCAAATTCATAAAAGGGACTAATTGTTTTAAATTCTAGAACAGATAACAGATAACATATTGACACAACAAAAAACTGTAACTTAAAGTTAATCTTTCAAACTAGTGTACATATTATGTGTGTGCTCACCATCACAACTGCAAATTTAATACAGAGAAAAATTACCTACTTACCTACTAAGGCACAGGTTACAATCTTCAAGGCATCAATACAATACACTAACTGGATATGACTGAAACCATTCAGTACAATATTTGAAAGAGTGTTAAAAGAAGATTTTTGTCTAGTTGAATTACTAAATACATTCATAGATCTCTTTATATTAGATGAAAGGTGAATTCTATCATTTCTTTTGGAGGATAAAAAGGAAATATGATCGATTTTTAGTGAATTAATATCATTATTATTACTGTTACTAGTATTCACTACTTCATTTGAAGAAGGCCACCATGGATTAGTTAGTTGAACAATTTGTTGAGCTGTTGGTCGTTTATTTGAATCAGATTCCCAACAGTAGGTCATTAAGTTAATCAGTGTACGCGGACAACGTTTTAAAAACTAAAATTTACAGAATTAGTAGAAATAAAACATTAATAAAGATATATTCAACTGATAAGATGAACACATAGAAAATGATTCAATTTTAATAACAGTGAAGTTGATGATGGTATAATTTCCGACTTCGATTCTGAAATTTACCAGTATATGTAGCATGTACTCAATAAAACTGAGGTTTAGTAGATGAACACTTCACCGGATATTTATTTTATCATAAATCCAAATCGTGTTATAATAACTCCAATTGTGGTAGTTGGAGTATCGGTGACATACTGACTCATATATCTAACGGTAGTAACCATTTAGCTACTTAGTGTTATCAGCTTTTATTCTTGATAAGCTATTGAAGGAAATATATTTTTGAAATTCCAATGAAATAGAAAAGAGGAAATCTTACATTTTGAAGCCTTGAGTAGTATCAAGGATTTACATTTTTGAAATTCAATGAAACCTTACAAACATATTTCCCCTATTACACTATCACCTAGTACTCTATTTATTCACGTCTATGAGGTAAAACTTTCATCCTGATGTCGACTAAACGCTGATTTTATACATTTCGAGTCATTAACAGTTTCACTTCGTAAAGAATAAGGGAATTAGTCAAATGCTTGTTTCTAAGTTGTTGTTTTAAAAAATCTCAATTCGATTGGCATTTAAGAGTTATGCATACTCCAAGTACAACATGAAAATAATTTGGATCAAGTGAGCACTTATTTATATTCGAGCAATGAAGTATAGTTTTGGATCATCAACAGATCAGAATCCTACAAACATGTATTAAATCAAAAATATGTTCATAACCATAGTTTAACAATATAGATACAAAGTAAATGCTGATGAAACCTCTCATAGACAACTAGTTCACTAGTTACTAGCCGGTCCTAAGCCCGGATAAAGAGGGAAGGTTGGGCATACGGCTAGCAACCCCACTACGTAAAATTAATTCCATCGCTAATGAAACTTAAAAGCACAAAGAAATTATAAAAATAAAAGCAAACTTATTCCTCGCTGGAATTGGGAAGAACAAATGACGCCGGTCGGTGAAAGCCTCCAGGAAGCCAGTCGGCAAACGTGTCTCCTCATCTTTCGATGAAGGCAAAAGAAAGAATGGGGATATGGAATGTCCACACCATGTATGAACCTAGCAATGCTGCCCAGATTGCAAACGAGACGAGAAGGTATGGCATAAAAGTGCTTGGAATCTGCGAAAGTAAATGGAATGGGAGTGGAATCTCTAAACTCTTAGCTGGAGAGTTAATAATCTACTCCTATATTGTCAACCACACGACAACCACCAACAAACTGAGCTTTCGAGTGGCTATCATGATGTCTCCAAGAACATCGAAAGCTCGCTCTCATGCAGTGGGAACCTATCTTCTCCTCCACATTCAGGATCATGACAGCAAGATTCAACTCAAAAGGAAGTAAAGTAACAATCATTCAGTGTTACGCTACGCACCTACAAACAATGCAGATGAAGAGAAGAAGGAGAAATTCTATAGACAACTTCAATCAACACTCGACAAGACCCCACTCCGGTTGGCGACATCAAAATTCTAATGGGCGACATGAATGTCAAACTCGGAACGGACAACACAGGAAGAGAACCAAATAAGGGCCGAGAAGCACTCGGTGAAATGAAGGAGAATAGAGAACCGTTTGCAGACTTCTGCTCATTCAACGATGTGGTGATTGGAGGCAGTATGTACAAACACAAGGATATTCACAAAGCTACATGGATTTTGTTTCACCAGATGCACACACTACAAACCGGATCAAATTCATCTCGATGTGAAGAAAGTGGAGACGCAGCCTACTAGACACAGGATCCGATCAAGAAAAGGGGAAGATGTAGGTTCAGATCACTCACTGTCTAGTGCAAGGACCTTTCAAAATCAAGTTGAAAGCCTTCAAAGTAGTTGGTGATACATCATAGTTCAAGTTTAACACGCAGAACAAAACTGAAGGACATCAGTCATCAGTAGAAAATGGGAGACATTAGGCAACATCCCTGAAGAAACCTCCGTGGGAGAACACTGGGACTCTTTGAAAGGTAGGTGGAAAGAAATCTTCACAACCGTGTTAGGAAGGAAGAAGAAACAAAACAAGGAATGGATCTCGACGAATACATGGAAGGCGATAGAGGAGGGAGAGGAAGATTGTGAAACAGAAGATGAACCAGTGCAAGAATGCACAACGAAAAGAAGAACTGAGTACAACCTAAAACAATATACTGGAAAAAGAAGTGAAGAAGAGTGTGCGAAAAGACAAAAGACACTTCTACGACACACTGGCAAGTGAAGCAGAACAGGCTGCTGGTAGAAGAGACCTGACAATGTTGTATCAAATAACCAGGTTACTGTCTGGAGGGAGGAGAGATCAACACAGATGAAACCAATGAAAGATGGTGAAGGAAAGCTAATTACAAGAGAAGAGAAACAAAGGAAAGGATGGGCTGACCACTTCATAAAACTCTTGAATCGACCACCACCATAACCACCTACAACTCGTTCAAATGGAATCCACCAAAAGCGCTAAAAACAGACTCAGAGACAACAGTGGACATGTTCACACCACACCACCGTTGCAGAAGGTCTGGAAGGGAGGAAAGGTACCTGCGGATTGGAAAAAGGGCTGCCTTGTCAAACTTCCAAAGAAGGAAGACCTAAGTCTTTGCAAGAACTGGTGAGGAATCATGTCCTACTCCTGTCCACCCCAAGCAAAATATTAGGCCGCATCATCCTGGAGAGACTAAAAACGCTCTGGATTTAAAATTACGAACGGAACAGGCTGGCTTTAGGAAGTATAAAGCATGTGCGGATCAAATTAAAACGCTACACCACGCATCATCATAGAACAGAGCATAGATTTTGAAAAGGTCTTCGACAGCGCCGATCGAGAAGTAATTCGCAAACTGCTTCAATACTACGGAGTACCATAAACCTTTATGAACCTCATTCAACAGCTATACAATGACGCTGCATGCCGAGTAATTCACAATGGAAAGCTCAGTGACGCCTTTAAAGTGCAGACAGGAAGGAGGAAGACAAGGCTACCTACCATCACCGATGATCTTTCTGATTTTGGTCGACTGGATTGGACCGTGCAAAAAACTGTGAGGAGCGAAAAGAGGGGCATACGCTGGTTGTCTGGACCGATGAAGAGACCCCAGAAGAAGATTTGGATTTCGCTGATGATGATCGATATCTAATGTCGCACAAACTCGGAGATCTACAGGTGAAAACGAAAAAGTTGACAGAAGAAGCAGCGAAGACGGGACTTCAAATGAATGTAGAGCAGACAGAGGTGATGAAGATACCCAACCAACAACAAGAAGTACCAATCACCATGAATGGGAGAAACTTTAACGAAGTAGTCTCTATCACCTACTTAGGCAACATCGTTTAACTACAGGTGGCGGCGGCACAGATAAAGACGTCGAAGCCAGCATCGGGAAGACAGTAAGACAGGCCTTCATTAACCTGAAACCAGTGTGGAAGACTACTGCACTACACTCGGCATAAAGAACAAGATCCGAATTTTAGACACTAAAGTCAGTCAAGTCTGTGCTTCTATTTGATGGTTGAGAGATTTGGCGCGTCACGAAAAGCATTTCCAACAAACTACAGACATTCGTCAACATCTGCCGCCTACTCTCACTCGATACTGACACTGAAGATCAGATGGCCAGAATAGTAAGAATAAGCAACAAAGAACTCTGGCTGGCTGGCAACGAACCAACCAAGAACCCACTGTCCAACAAAGATGCAGAAGAAAGTGGAGATGGATTGGGCATACACTGAGAAGACCATTCGGGGACATCACGCGCCAGGCCTTGAAGTGGAATCCATAAGGCGTCCGAGGCAAGGGTGACATGTAGGAGATGGTGTGAGGAAGAAATAAAAGCTTGTGAGCAGTCGTGGAGACAGGTTTAAAAGACTGGAGAGAAGAGAGTGCAATGAAGATGTGTTACTGAAGCTCTATGTTTTACTACGAACCCAAGGAGCAAATAGTAATAAACAATCAATGCTGATGAAATCGTCTAGTCTGGCAATGAAACGCCTAAGAACAAACCTCAAAGCTCGGAGAACACTAAAAGATTATCATGAATAACTGTCACATAAAAAAGGTGTGATTAATGATTGGCTAAACTCAACACAATACCAGTCGTCAGCTTGCAGACTTATAAGGATCTATTCAACGACGACAAGCTGTACATACTCTGAAGTATTCATTCCGTTTTATGAACATTTACGTCACTCTAGCACATCTAATGTATTTGTGGTATTCATTTGATGTGATGTCTTTATTCAGACGAATTCATACTAATAGGAATATTTACATTACCTGTCAGTATTCCAACCTTCTTACTATACCTATTTCGAAATTCGAATACCTGCTATTACCACTAAATAAAGACGTTCAGTTTCAACTTGACAAAAATTTATACCACCAAACTGACGGGGTATCTATCAGCAGTCCATTAGGCCTGGTGTTGGCAGATATCCTTATGGCTGATCTTAAGAAGACAAAGCTTGGACGTGCGACTGAAAAGATAATATCTTATTCTGGATATGTCGAAGACCGATTTGCTTTACGCAACGACTTACGTCATGTGCCGAACTTCAATCTTGGTCACCGAAACACTATCGAAATGGAATAAACTTAAACGACCACATATGAAGAATTAACAAAAGACAATTCAGAAAAACTTTCTTTTCAACGAATCATTTTCAAAAGCTGTACAAGCGTAAGCATAGTTACAACAAAATATATATCAATAAATAGCTAATGAGTTGACTCCGTTAACCGTCTAAGAGATGTCAACATCTGCGGCAAGCGTAATTTATCATATAACGTCACATCGCTCCTCACTAATGTCCTTTTGATGAAAACAATCTGATATCTGTGTGATTATATTGAGACCAACAAGCCTGAGTTTAAGATTCCTAAACATTTTTTGAAGGAGTTGCTCTTACTGGGAGGAACGACAAAGAATGAGGTCCAATTTCAAATGTTTATTATGACATTTTGTACAGTACTGATGAAATATTGTACACCTCCCATTAAAAAAGCACCATCTGCTTCATTTCCTCGTCTTCTTCTATCTCGATTTGCTCTTTATAAGCCCACATTATCTCTTGTCCATGACTTCCGCCAACGTCTCAACATATGCTACTTGTACCATTCTTATCATTAGCATCCGCTACATTACGATATAACTTTACCATACAATTTAGATTCAAAGGTGAATTTTACCGACTAACGGGGTGGCAACGGGTTCACCAATGGGTTATCTCTTAGCCGACTGCTTCGTGGCCAGTAATCTTCGTCCACTAAACGATTCTGCATCTGTCCCAGATATACGAAAAATTCTACTACGCTTATCACAAAGAGGAAGAGATATTAGAACTATATCAATTGTATCCAACGTTATCTAGTAAATGATACTATTTCACTATGTGGCATTTCTAATAAACAGACTAAAATGAAGTTTGAGTTAACCTTCTAGCCGCCATCACCAAGTGACTTTATTGACCGATTTTGTTAGCTTTATACTGATTCATTGGTTACTGACGGATATATATCTTAGTGTAACTGATTAAAATTTTACAGCCTTTGAAAATGACTCGTAGAAAAGAAAGTTTTCTTCGCTGAATTGTCTTCTGTTAAGTTTTCATTATCTAATGGGACTATTTTGATGGGTCATATATGAAAGCTCAGAGAATATAAAACCATTGGCACTCTCATACTCAATTACAAATATAATATATAATATGAATATTATAACTCACATGTGATGGAATTTCAGGACGTACACCTGAAATCACTTCTTGAGCCAAACGAAACAATATCGAAGACGACTTTTTGTATGGTTGTTCTAATTGAATCATCTCACAAATTAATATTCCCATTGCATAGATATCAACCTATTGAAAATTAAGATTGAAACAGAGAATAGAAATAAACATGGAATGGAAGTTAGTTTACTTATAAATACTACTGACTACTACTACTGTGAATATGTTGGCAGAAATAAAACAAACACGTCTGTTAACTAGTTAGTTTTCTCTTTCTTTAATATTATCATCGATAAATAAAGTCATGAATACAGCAGTAACAAGCTAACGGTGATGGGTTTAGGAGAGAAACAATACAATTAAAATAGACCGTGCTCCACTTCTCTAATTCAGATGCACTTGGACTGGAACCAAAAGACCCAACAGAGCAGTTAGTTTGGTTATAATGACGACAAAAAAGTAACGTATCATGGATCTACATGGCAGCCTTCATGAACCTTAAAAGTCTACTGCAGAAGTTCAATGGATATTACAAGTCAAACAAATTTACCATAGAAACTGGATGTTTTATTGAGAAGAAGACATGAGAGTTAACTAAGGAGATCAATTTACAGAAAACGAAGTTGGCTTTTATAAGTCAAGAAAAGAAATCTAATTAATTCACTATCAACAAGAATTAAACTAATTTGTACGAATGATGCAGAAAATGAGGATATGGAAGTACTTTGAAGAGGGCTCACCGGAATAGTTGTCTTTCAAGATTCACTGACAAGAACATGAGGTCTGAACTTTGCAAAGAAAGAAACATAACGGTTTCAGAGGAGACAATATTTATGAATATTAGATTTAAATGAGGCAACGGTAAAGATACTGAAAAATCGAGTGTGTAAAGCACCAAAGAAAACATTGTTATTCATCTAGTTTCGGATTTTCTTCAGTAAATAACTACCTTTTCGGACCATTTTTACGTGTTTACCATTTCCCCTGGTGTTGTAGAGCTGGTTACATAGGCTTCAGAACACGTCTTCTAGCCAAACGCATCTCCAAACATTATCCTGCGTCACTGTCTAAAAGAGACTGGGAAGCGATTAACAACTCAATTCTTGAGCATCTGGTTAGCTCTGGTCGTCTTCTCCACCATACGTTTCCTTCAAAGACATTCAGGACGTTTTATACAAAAGTATTGCTTAAAGGCAGTGACCTAGAACCTTATGTGGAACCTGGAATCAAACACGACGCATTTAATGGGAGAACAGTTATCTTAGGGAGGATAAAGAAAATATTCTTGCTTATTAAACTGAAGTGAAAAACCCTTGAGCAATTGACTGTGTAACCACTTCTTCCCCTTATAATAAACCAAAGCAAATGAGATGAAAAAAATAACTAACCTTTGTATTGTACGTCTGTTCACCTAAGTATTCTAAAATCTCAGGCGCCATATAACCAGTTGTACCAACATATCCCCTGCATCCATCATCAGGTGAACTCATAAAACGACTTGCACCGTAGTCTGTTAATACAATGTGTACTTGAGACGGATTGTAGTTATTCGGTAATGTGGATAACGACATCAGCATCATCGATGGCGGCATGGACCAGATTAAAACATTCTCCGATTTCACATCCCGATGAATAATCGATAAGTGGTGGAGATAGGCTAGTGCTTTGGCCAACTGTAGAAATAAAAATGAAATGACTGTAATAAAATATAAGGAATATAAAAGAGCAAAATGTAGTTGGAGAGTTAACGTTTTATACTACTAAATGTTTTAATCCAATTAAGACAAAGCTCAAGAGTACTTAAACATAACGCCATGTGTTTGAATTTCACCTCACTTACTTTCATCTACATAGACAAACACATATAAAGGCTCCTGTGGCTATTAAATTACTTCAATCCAGGCTTAAAAGCATCTACAAAACTGCAGATGAAACAGACTGAAAGCAAAGATAAGAATATAACTGATAAATGCAAATATAAGCATCTCAACACATAAGGTGACGAACTGCACAACAGAAACGAACAAGACCTAAACAAAAACCAATAGCTCGTTGGTGGGTGGTTGCTTACGCAAGAGTTCCTTTCACATACCTCTTACTTTTTAAATATACATGGTTATTAAACTAGAAATCAGTCCGATAAAAACACGTGCTAGATATATCCAGTTAATGCCTAAATTTATATCAAATGCCGAATGAAGAAGTTGTAGGATGGAAGAAACTTTAGAATGATCACACAGGTATATACAACTAATTTATCGGGACAATTTCTAGTGATGTTTCACGTCCTTTCACTAACGTCAGAAACCACAAACGGTAACACCGAATTATGCTCGTCGCACAATGAATGGCTATTGACCGATATATTTATTTGATAGTGGCCAACAAACCATTTTCAAACTTCCAAAGAGTAAAGTTCGGTTAGGGAGGATGATGATGCTTGCAGTGAAAGTCACAGCGGTTGTATGACACTATTCAACAAAAATCACCTTAGAATCTAAGAAGCTGGAATCTTTTTTGAGTGTTAAATCCACTCAGTTACTTTGTGCACATTTGTTCAACAGGTAGTGAGCCACACCTATTGTGTAAGGGCTAATGATGCTACCTAGTTGCCAAAAAATTGATAGGTGGCGCAACGTTTGAACCCACGAACCACTTGGTTGAAAGTCAACTTCCTAAAACGATGAGTGAAATCCACCAAAGCTGGAAAATATAACGATAACTGAGCAATTGGTTGGTGAAAGTCAGTTGATATAATAATAATTCGGATTCCATTAAAAGCAATAAAAAGTAACTTTAGCAACGCTGAAACCACGAAAAATAAAGTAATCTCATTGGATAGTTACCAAGAGACAGGGTGTGTATAGTGTAAGGGAACGATTAGAACATAATATTTATTATCAGTGTTAAATATCACACTTTAAAAAGACACATTTATAGAAACAGCTAGTTAGCAATTGCTGACTGCATGTGTGTGTGTGAACTGCTTCTTTCCATGTGTTTATAATTAAGTACACTTTAACTAGAGCAGAAACGTTACAATTGTTGAACACATTAAATGAAGCAAGACAGGTTTCCAATGAACTATGCTTGCGTTTTCTGGTAATTGAAGAATCTTATGACACACACTGCAAGATAGATGACTAACTAAATCTTAAAAGGAGTACAAAAAGATTATATTGATTTCAGATAGCGATTTCGTCCTTGGGGAAGATGAGACATTCAGATGCTTGTTGAGACATCTCCCAAGAAAAACAGCGGTGAATGATGTTTTGTTATACATCTAATACCTAAAGTATGCTTTCACTGATAACTTAAAAAAGCTTTATTTGTATGTCAGAAAACCAAGATGCTGTAGAAGGGAAAAGTAACTTATTCAGATAGGATTACTGACTAAGGTGATCGGATCATGAGTTAAACATACCAAATGATCACTACCCTTGACATGGGGTATTGCCTGCAGTAGGTGCGCATTATAAAGCTGACTAGACAAAGAAATGAAATAAACTATGAAGTTATTGACTGTTTCTGTAATCTATCAAGAGAAGTATAAGTTTTTCCGGCTACAATGGTAAATTTGAAATGAACAGTAGAAGAATCTAGTATGACACGAGATGTACTGATTTCAGTAGTCTACATGATCCAACTTTAATTTCGAGTAAATTACCAACCATCGACTTTATCCAGGGCTTATGGATTTTCTGCCTGTTACTAACAAATTTAATAAAATTCTCACTTTATTTGACTGAAACTGATTTCAATTAGTTGTTAGTTAAGCGGTTAAAAAAAGAAAAAGAATACACTCACTTGATTAGTTACACACATCATTGTTAGTGGATGTAATGGATGGTCAAGAAATAGCTCATTATGCTCTAGTGATGTTGTTGTTGGCATCGTCATCATCGAGGAAGAGGAAACTGATGATTTCAGTAGATCTTGATAGGATGATAGTAATGAAGTGAAATAATCAGATAAATTTCCCAATGGTGCTAATGGCATTAAAAATCCAATCGGATTAGGATAAATGATTCCACAGCATACAAGTAAATTATTCTTCTGTTGTGATAGATGCATATTTGAAATCAGCTTATTATTGTCACTATTATTATCAGTTTTCTTTTGAAGGCATTTACTAAAACAACCATAAGTCAATCGTCTCTCTTGTATACCATTATACAATTTACTCATATTCTTATAGCTACGATTGGATGCTGTTGGAGTAGAATGTTTCTGATATGAATGGATGTGAAAAGGAGGATGATGCTTGCTAAATTTCATTTGATAAACTTTCATACAATTCATTGTGATTGGTAAGAGGATATTTAATTCAGCTCGAATTTCCTGTTCAAAATTAAAATTATGTTAAAGAGAATAATATGAATGAACATCATAGAGAAGATGTATGAATGCATTCTTAACTGATTGACCTAATCATGATAACCTATGATATAAATTTAAAACAAACAACAAAAAGCAAGGTTTAATGAATTCGTGAATTTCGGTTGAACTCGGCAACTGAGCACTCTACATACTTGCTTATTTGCGCTAAGATGTAAAACAGGGACAAATACCTTTATCTATTTTAAACTAGGACGACAATTAAGACTTCATAACATTAAAAAGATTTTGAAGATGTGTTGAGTTGATTCATGAGAAGATTGGAATAGAGGTGGGAATTAACTGAAAAATTGCATGAATTAGAGTTTAGTTATTTCATTGTAAATAAAATAGTTGACAACCGAATAAAGAACGCATATTAGAAATAAATATATCCACTAAACTGGAACAATTTAGTAAGGAATATAGAAATAAAACGAAAACAAAAAAGAATTACGTAGTAACAATAAAATTATTCAATTGTTTAGGTGACAGTGCAATAAAATTGTTACTTAAAGTAACCCCTATTTCTTTCTGAATACCGCGGGTTGGTTTATGTACACACCAATTGACAGCAGCAGTATAAAAAAGAAGGAAAGTTCGTCCGTTTTGAAACTCATCAGTTGGATACACATGTATCCCAGTGAGTGATGGTGTCAGAATATCCTATATTTACCGGTAAATAAATTATCGAATATTCAAGTGAAACCTAACAAACAAATTAACGTCGAATCTATTACAAAAGGGAATCCTTTCAAGCTGTTACATATCAAAACGGCAGACAAATAAATGACATTAGAGTTTATAAAAGTTAAGGTTAATCGAAATATTCAAGACTTCGAAGATGACTCTGATTGATTTTGAGCCACATCAGAAAGCTTTCAAACATTGATTAATTTCGTCTTAAAAACCTAAGTGAGGTAGTCCCAACAAACTTCATGCAACTTGAACATAAGAAGTACCATTGTCGTTGCTTAATTCTAGGAGAAAATGAATATTGTAAACATGATTATGATGAATTTGTGTATATAAGTCAGGAACTGTATTGAATGGCATAATTCTACATGAAATTAAACTGTACTCAATGTGATCATATTTGTCTTTGGTGTCTTCAAAAAAAGTAAAACTAATTTTTTAAACATGGAACAAAAGAAGATAAGTTTAAAATTTCATTAAAATCCCAAAGAATTCTTACACAGTATTAGTAATTACAAACTCTGAGTAATACAACTTTCTGCGAACTGCGATAAGGTATTTTTAAAAGAATTTACTTCCTAGTTAGTGTATCAAGAAATGAATAAATAACGAAATAAATAGCGCAAGGACTAAGTGGTCACTTTGTTAGTCTGTTAATCTTGTGCTAGCGAATGCCACAATCGATAAAATGAGTCATCAACGAAAGCGACCGATTAAGTGACTAAAGAATAATCAGCTTACCTGATATGCAATTAAACACGTTTCAACGGGATGTTGTAGCCATCTACGTTGATCTTGACGATATAAAGCAAATGCATCACGAAGATTTGAACTAGTAGAGCCTTCTGAAAGTTTTGTTATATCGTTAGGAACAGCAAAGGAAGAAGAATTATTTACGCTTGAGTTATCCAAGTTCGGGTGGACAGGTGAACAAATTTTTACAGCTATTTTATGAGTTTGATAATTACCATCTTCATTGTTAATCTAAAGATGGGAAAATGAAATAAATATGTGATATTGCAGGTTATGAGAGGAAAAAACTACAGCAGACAAACATTCCTTATGTTGGCAGGTGTCTGTGTAGAAGTATATATATATATATATATATATATATATATATATATCACAGGTAGGTATAGTGACAGTTTCAACCAGGGACGGATATCATCAGGTGGAGATGAAGCATTGGAAAATGGTATCATTCAGAAAGACTGACTGACAAAATCAATCTCGGATACGGGTGCATCGGCACAAGTTGCCACACTTCACGGAGGTAAACAAAGAACAGGTGGATAGAAAAAAAAGATAGATATCAAAGAAGATAAAGTGAAGTGAGAGGAAAAAGCATTGGAAGATGAAGGTTGGTGCAAATATTCAAGCTTTAGATGCTAATGAATGGGTCCATCTACGCAATTTTGGCCGATTTTCAGATATGTCGCTAAGAGTTCTTAACCAACGATTCCTTATGTCTTGGGGAAACTAAGCATGCAGTGTTCACCTCCCCCATACGACTCAGACCAACATTAAGATACTCGATCGACTGATGCCAGGTCTTGGTCTGGCCGCCCTAAATCCTCTTCCAAACTAAACCACCTTCTCTTAGCATGAGATATGGATGTAAGCGGTGATTTGGCAAGCGTAGTACATGTCAAAAACAACCTCGATCGACTAAGGTTCACAACCTCATCATTTCAGTAAGTCAGTACTGTATAACATCAATGTTTAAAAAACAAACGAATGGTTATCAAGTTTAATAATAATCTTGTTACTTTAAAAATAGTGATCAGCAGTAATGCTAAACATTCGCTAAACCAATCACAAGAAGGAAATTAGAACTATTTAGGTAATGAATGCACTACATATAACGAATCGGCATCATCTACAACATTACCGCAACTAAAACGGCACTCAATATTTGTTTCATTCTTGTTCGATACTCATTAATAATAGTGAACACTCAAGAGTACAAACTGAATCGAATCCAGAACTGTTACATCTCACGGTGAGCACGCTATCATTTAGTTATAGATTTTGATTTCAGTTCTCATGAAGGCATGAGTGCACGATACTGATGAGTCCCTGAGATGATGCACTTGTCCACAGCTCCCAAACATTCAACTGTCCTATAAATGATGCTCACTTATGATGAAAATTGCCTTAAAATCCATTGACTTGCAAAAAAAACCTTCTAAATGAGTAGGTTATAGATGTTTAAACAAAAGATTTAAACGCCTTAATTCTGTTAAACAGAGTATCTAAGTATTCATTTGATTGGTTAAGTTGATGGATTATGAAGAATAGACTCAGAAATATGTGCAGTTCTGTCCATTCCATATTTATGTCTTATTACAATTATTTTTCTTGAGCAACACCTCATTGTTATGTGAATCTTTCTACATTATTAATTTGATTAGGTTGCTGAAATTTATAGAAACACTAATTTTTACGACATATGATATTAATAAATAAAATCTGTCACTGTTGGCCCCGGTCGTGCATCAGAGTGTAGGCGGCTTGATCGGGATTCTGAAAATGTAAGAATCCAATGGTTGGAAACCAATAGTCATACGGATGTAGTTATGCTTATTAGAATTAGTATTATTATTTGTTTTGGTTCCTAGTGGAACATAGGGCTTCAGTAGCACGTCACCATTTCACCCTCTTCTCTGCAGTCTTTTCAACCTGGCGCCACTACTGCCCACAAGCTTTTGTTTTTTTCCCCACCCCCGCCTTGGACGCCGAACTCGTCGTTTCCCCTTTAGGTTCTACTAGACAGCATGAATTGGCGCATGATGTCCCCAGCTGGTCTTCTCGGTGTATGTCCAATCCAATACATCCTCACTTTCTTCTGCATATTTGTTGGACGATGGGTTCTTGGTTGGTTCGTTGCCAGCCAGAGTTCCTTGTTGCTTATTCTTTCTGGCCATCTGATCTTCAGTATCGAGCGTAGTCATGCTTGATCATCGTTGAATTTTCGATAACTTTTTGTGAAATTATATGTAATTACGGTATACATTGTCAAATCGTTTTTCCGCCATCTCTTTATGCTCTTGGGAAGCACAGCAACTTTAAATTATGGAATTCTGTGTAAAACCGTACTTTGCTCTCTTTCTGTTTATTTGCCAGTGAATAACATCATAAAAAAGTGCGAAACATTTTGACATGAAATGCAATTTCAGAGAAGTAGTACTGAGCTACAATCGTGTTAAATAAAACTTCAGTCATTGAATAATCTCCCGTGAAAAACAAGTTAACGCTAGCTTACTTCATCGACTTTCATCGAATGGTCATCATCTAAAATCCGTGGCTTCTGTTTTCGTGTAATTGAATATAAATTCCTTTGACGAATATGATGATCAATATTCCCTGCGGAACCGGTGAATACAGAACCAAAAGCTCCACGTCCAAGAAATTTAAACAGATGAACAAGATCAGCAGAAATCAACAGATCAGAGGTGACATCTTCAAATCGCTAAGAGGAAAGGAAAAAACAGCATTAACAATACAAGAGTAATGAAATGAAATTTATGGCATGACTTACCGAGGTAAGTTATCATGATAGGCGAAAGAAAAGTAGACATAAAATTGAGTTGAGTATATTGTACATGATTATTAAACATATTTTAAAAGATGTTTGACTGACTCAGTTATTTTGAACTATTGTTCCGTAACTATTTCTAAGACCTTCTTGTCTGTCCATTAATAATTGTTTTACATCCTATCATTCAAAAGTAATAATGAGTTGACTGTAATACATGTCCGATATTTTATCACCTAATTGTCTTCGTTAAATATATTCAATTTACTGTATGCTATGCGTATGTTAAACTGTTGTGTAAATGGATGAATTGTAATTCAGACATTAACTCGTACTAAAAGTGTAGACAGATTAGTGAGACGATTAATTGTTGGTTATTTTTATCTGGTCTGTAAAAAAGTTTTTACAGAGGAGACGGTATGCTTACATTTGGTAAATGACAGTTTACTCAATCAAAGCGAAAGCGTATGAAAGATGAGAAGTAAAAGTGACCTGAACACGCAACAAGCAAATAGGTAGTAGTTACGTTTAGTAACAATAAACAATCGACAACAGCTATTATTACACAGCAAAAAGATTAGACAACCTAACAATCAGAACTAGAAAATTGAATGAGTAAGGTTAAACATTCATTTATTGCTTCTTCTAATGAAGAAACTATTTCTGTGTTTATGAGTATCTGAGTTAGGTAGAAGTTGAATCCTACGTATAAAGTTGACGATGGAGTTTTATTGTCGTGATGAAAATGGATTAGTGTACGTCATACTGACCGTGAGAGAACAGGATTCCACCTACGATATAATGATCAGTTGTTAGCAGGTTTTCACATAGCCTGAAAGTAATTCGCTGAAGAAAGTGAGTAGGAAATCGTGTTCACATTTAATGAGTCGTAAAAGTTATCTTTAGAACGTTTAGCTGTTTATGCACAGATCAGAAAGCGTACATTAATTATCACTTTAGACTTTACACCGTAATGAGTAACTAAACAAGGTAATATCAGCGACTTGTTATTTCCTTTTGTTCATTAGTTTGAATCGAACTGATAAGTCTCTGCTACTTTATGGGTTTCTATATGGATGCTTCAATATAGCCAGTGATATCATTCTACTAGTCACCGTCTTTGATATCAAAGTGAAAAACAGGAAGTATAAAGTGCGGATATCAGCAAAACTATAGCCATTGCACAAGGATTAATTATCATAATTCAGAAGCCTAGTAGAAACATGTTCCAGAGTTTGAAGTAATGGGTTTTTGGCTAAAGCGTCAGTGGGACCAAAACCACGCATTGTGATGTATGTTCATTCAACTAATGAGTACCGAATAATCCAAGATGCGCGTTTTGTATTCAACTGTTAGTCACTATTCATTCTTCATACCAATTACATACTTTCAGAAATTTCTCATATGGTTTTACGACTACATGACGGAAATTATTCAATATCAATGTTTGATACCATCATGACTAATGAAATCGGAGTTTAACTATATGAATGATTGAATAATTTTTATTTGTAAGAGTAAAAACATGAAAAATCATTGAAAATACATGTGAATGTATAAAATAAATATGAAGATGGACAAATTTTAAGAAAAGATAACAAAACAGTTTCTCATGTAATATAACTTACTAGATCTGGAGCCCATAAAGGAATAGATGAATGCATGGGACAGTATAATTCTTTTAATTTTAGTCCTCTTTTCATTGAACTTTGTATCATATACCAGTGAATGTATTCACTAACAGTTATACCATAAACATAATTACAAGCTGTCGATAAACTGAATGCATTATTATTACTATATTCTTTGTTATGTAGTGGATCAGCTGAATGAGCTCTTTTATGTTGATACCTGTTATGAAAGTTGCACAAAGATAAGAAGACTTTGAAGACAACAAATGTAAATTTCATGAAATTAGTATACTAAAAAGAAAAAGAGAAAGCTATTGGGTTATAGGTGTGTACAATCAGTGAGTTGCAAACTAGAACGAAACATCTGTTCAGTGCTCCCTGTTTTCCAATACTTATTTAGTTTATTTCAATCCATGATAAACAACAATGAAATATTCATTCTTTCATTAGATTTATGAATATGGATAGATGTCAACATGAGAACCACCAAAGACCAAGACGTACCGTACAGTTGTCTTGTTCCAGTTGGGAACATCTTAGAAAAGAATATTAGCGACCGAATCCAAATTGAACTGAGACTCACTGAATCTCATAATGAGGAAGATAACAGTTAGTTACTAAGTCGGGATCCAAAGGCCCATGTTTTCCAACTCATGCCAACAGACAATGCAGAGTGAACAACGTCCAACTTAAACGGTCAGTATCTGTTCTTATACACGACTTGGTTAGCCTAATAGCTCCAACCAAATCAATCACTCCCTTCACCGAAAAATGAATTAGAATATTTAACAACTAGTCCCTTCTATTAAATTTCTCTAAGGGATAAAGATAGACGAAGACTTGATCAAATTATCCACATCATTTTAGAGTTCAAGATAAGTAGTTTCACGACATGAAAAGAAACATTGAACGAACGAAACGAACTCATCCATCTTGTGTACATCCGTGCAGTAGGCAAAAAGCGACACAATGTGTGAAGGCTTGTGATACTACCCGGTTCCCCCAACCTTGGTAAGTGGGGTAGGGTTCAAACTTGTGACCCAGTGGTTGACAGTTGTCTCCATAACGCCACAATCATATTCTTAACATCTTCATACATTTTAGAATGAACTGAAGTGTAGCACAAAGATATCTTGCAGTTATATCATAACGCTTTGTTCCTTCATCGTTAAATTAACCTGATACAAAGAATCAGAGTATTTCATTTTGCTGCGATCAGAGAAGAGATTCGCAGAAGAACATATCCATAAATAGACCTGGCTGTAACCACTAACGGTATGACCTAAAACAAATATCTCATCTTTGATATCAAGCCACATTGAAAAAGAAGGAAAAAATCAACTTAGAACCCCACACACAAGCGCATTCATCTCAGTAGCCAAACATCACAATACCACGAAGAGAACCAAAAAAAATGACTAACGCCAAAGAAGACAAAAGTGTAAAGGAGGAGAAACAATTCGAAGATAAAGGTTAGTGAAAATATTGAAGCCTCAGAAGATTTCGAAGAGTGAACGCGTTTGCACCTTTGTGACCGACTTCCAACCATGTCACCAGGAGTCTTCAACCATTAGTTCCTATGGTCTCTAGGACTCCGGTCAGGTAGCCTACATCTCCCTACACGTCTCAGACCTACAATAAGAGACTTCGTGATCTGCCCATCTCGAATCCTCTTCCAACCTAATTTAGAGTCAACTACCATTACACGTTGTAGTAAGTGGTGAATCGGCATATGCAACACAATTTCAAAACCTAGTCGATCAATTTGCTCAGTACCTTTCGCCTAATCTCGACATCACTCACACAGTGACCCTAGCATTCGTGAGAAATGTTACGAAGATACTCATGATCAAAAACCTGTAGCCACTTCATATGTTCTGATTTTAACGGTCATGTCTCACTTGCATATAATGGTGTGGGGTAGACTGAAGTGCAGCATACTTATCCTTGAACAGATAGTCGGATATTTCACGGACGCAAGAGATGTTGCAAGTCAGTAAATGCTGAATGGGCCTTCTATATTCAAATTGAGACTTCATCAGAAACCAGCCCGTTCGGAATGATACAACTCTCCAAGTTAGTGAAGTGCTCAACGCATTTTAACACTTCACTTCTAATCCTTCAAATAGGAGTAGTTTCAAACCAGTCTTGAATCATCACCTTACATTTGACACCAGCAAATCATACACCAACCATACTCAAATCTCTGCTCATTCCTTTCAGAGGACATCTAAGGAGTAGGTGGATCCCTGTGAATTCAGACTTACCTAAGTTTATGTACATTGCCATATTAACATCGAGAAAATGAACAGTGACAGCAGGCATTCCTTACGAACACCACTATTTGTTGTCAGTTCAAATGACAACTCTCTCTCGAGTAGAGAGCTTTGATTAGCTTTATACGCTTGCTCGGTACTGCTTTCATAATCACATAGCCACAACACCTCAAGGTTGACAGAGTCAAATGCCGCCTTCAGGTCAAAAACTATGGTGTGTCGGTCGCTGGTATTTATGCCTGTGTTTTACAGCCTGGTAAAGGGTGAAGACCTGAGTGATGTATTGTCATCCAGATTTGAATCCTGTCTGCTTTTCTCGAGATTGCTGTTTTCGGGCTCCAGTTATTCGTCGGATAACTATGAATCCACGGATCTTAGACACGATGTCAGCTAAACTGGTTCTTATAATATGGTTGTCACAAGATTTTTTTCTTTCTTATAGAATCGAATGATCAGTGAATTAACTAGTTTGATAGACCTACTTTCGATTCCCATTCACTGCCTAGTAGCTTCGTTACACTATTGCGTAATTCCCTACTTCTATCCTTAAAATATTCTGGCAGCAAACCGTCAGGTCCTTCTGCTTTGTATCGTCTCAGGTTGAAAACAGTTTTCTCAACAAACTTCGGGGAAAGTTGGAGCACCGACATTTACATCCCATTCAGGTTCGGTTTGAATGTAGCTGTTACATATACAATTGAAAATCAATGTGATTTCGAACTTTACCACTCACTAGCCATAAGGATGACAGTTGTTAATCATTCACCTACAGCAACAAAATGATTACGGATTGACAGACAGACAAATCAGTATCTAACCTTGCAGAGAATTGTTTGAAATCCGGTTTTCACACTTCAAAGAAGTGACACGAGAGTCGGAAAAAGTATGTGACAGGGCAGGGAAGAAACAGATGAAGGTTAGTTTACTAGGCAAAAGCTCAGGCAGAGAGGAAACGGAGATACTGAGAGACATTAAAGTGAATAAGGAGGATATAAACAGTGATACAGAATGAACAAATATATACGCAGTGGGAAGGTGATCAAAATTTACATGAACGCATTTATTCGAACTGCATACCAACAGAATATATATATATATATATATATATATATATATATATATATATATATATATCATCCATCCCCCTCAATTTATTGGCTTTTTCTATGGAGGTTTTTCTCATGATCTTGTTTGTTGAAAAGAAGTCAGGTAAATTCAAGAAATGTAGTTATTTTGCTATGTCATTAGCATAATTGATTTGTAACTGAACCCGCCTCATTGACAGAATGAATATCTAATCCATACTTACAGGCGTCAATCGCAACACAAATAGCTCAATAACAATGCCTGAAAACTGCAGAGTTGGGTGACGAGGATTCAGATCTCCCAGGGGACATCAGTTCCCTCTTCAGGTTACAGATATGCCTTGCTGACAACTGCTAACAAGCAATAAACCCAGGTCATGAAGAGCACCAAACATCTAACAAAGTGAATACTATCAGTCTGATAGGTGTAACCACTGAGACAACACTCACCCTTTGATGATTCAATGCAACATCTCAGTAGCTGTTAAATAGGGGGTAATCGCCATTTCTTTACAGAAATACATGCTGTTTTCAAAGTGATATACACAACAGTAGTATCTGCAAGCCAACCTGTTCAAAAGTAGAGCAATATGGAATAAAATGAAAGCACTACTGCTAGATTTGATCTCACATTACGATCATTAGGTGTCTCGTTTAGTTTTCCATCCTATGAGACAACACAAGAAGGTGATTGCTGACAATTGAAGTACTAAAGAGTGAGTGCCCCATTGATGATTTGGTTAATCAACTCTCGAATTCAGCTCAGTTTATTTCACTCTGAGTGACTGGGTAGTAAGTAGCATAAGACGTAAGGCATTCAGCATGATTCATAGTTTAATACGTAAATCAGTACTGAGTTGCTGCATAAAGTCACTGCATTATAGAAGTGAGGAAATAATATGTCAGTGTTATAGAAATAACATACACCATCATCATAATGACCATTGAAAATAAACTTTAGGGAAATTAAGCTTTTTAAAAACAACCAACAGTCTTGAATTATCGCAAAAGGATACATAAACAAACACCGTAGTAACAAAACTATTTACTCACCGTTTGAAAGGCCAAGGCCATTTAGCACTTGGTTGATATGGAAATAAAGGAAAGAAGAAAAAAACACAACACAGTTTACACTTTAAATGAACTATTTTTTGATACATTGCATTACAAAAGTGAGTGTCTAAGTTTTAGTGTTTCCCTTCTATTAATATAAATCGAAAATAAGGTTTTAAAGTAGACATATGCCATATGGAAAGCGACTAGCGTATATACCTTATTCATCTAGAAAGGTCATAAATCAACTGTAGAATATAACCCAGTGCATGTTCATATATTAGGCAATGTGCCACACTTGTTGCATGACTGGTTATGATACTATCCAGTTGACCAGTCTGAAGTGTTTAGAAAGAGATTTAAACGCAGCGTATATATTGCTTAAAAGCCATATTTGTAACCCCATGATCCATATCGTCAAGGTCATACTCGGTAAGCATGCCAGGAAAGAATTATACACTTATTAGGGACAGTAGCTTACTTCTTTCCATCTCTTAGTCATATTGGCTATGCATATTAACACAAAAGCTCATGTAGCAAGGGTGTATGCCACCAATGATGATAGCCTCATTTTCTCGATAAAGATGTATGAATACATTTCAGCGACATTCATACTTCTACAATAAAAAAAAGCACAAAAAAATTAAAAAGAAGATAAGACCTA